CAAATTTTTTTCACGATATACACGTGAATGAGAAAGAAATTTAGGATACTTTTTTCATCTTCAGGTAAAATTGATATCTTGTAGTGTTCTGAATTCTAAAAAAGGGGAAAAAAAGAAAGAAAGAAAAAGGGGGACGAATGCATCACAACAGCTTTTGTTTTTGATCACTAAACTTTAATATCTAGAATGTTTCAAAAATATTGGTTGACTAAATATTTCTTTAACGGTGGGTTTATGTAACAATAGGTACATGGCGTGCAATATGTTGTACAAAAGCAATCATTCTTCTCAGTGATGCTAATGTCACTAACTGCTCATTAGCATACAAGAAAACTGCAGTATGTATATCATGTAGCAGTTATCATTATAGGGAGCACCACAGTTAATAGCCTGCGGTTCGGCTAGCTTAGGTCAAAGAACGTAATGTATCAGTGTGCGGAAGGTAATGTAACATTCTTTTGCTTATGAACTGCTATTCTGTTTGTTTGCATAATGTGGAGAACAGGACTGTTGAACAACAGGATTTCGCTCCTGGAATTTGTTTCAAGAATAATGATTCTATGTTTCCATCTTCTGTGGTTTCAAGAGTAACAATTCTATTATCTTAGCTTCTATAGTTTTAAAAATAACAATATTATAGTCCCATTTTCTACAGTTTCAAGAAAAAGGGATGTGTAGTTTCCTATCGGAATTTTGAAACACGAAGTTTTCGAAACACGTTGTGTCACCATGAAGCTTCAAACGATGCTAAGTGCCATGGGAAAGTCATTAAGCAGGATTGTTTTCAAATAATAATTGAGAAATGGGTATTCCTACTGCAAAGAAATTACGCTAAGAAACTGCATTACGCTTTGTGTGCTTTCGTACACAAGCACATACTCAATGCAACTCGAAGATCCTCGGTTTGAAAACAAAATCCTTAAAGTCTCGACATGATAACTACTAACTGACATAGCAAATAATGAATTCAAAATTGTTATTAGCTTAGAGTATGATTTTTATTAATACAATTTCAATGCTGCGGTAAAATACCTGATGTTATAATAAGAAGCTTAAATGTGTTCTGATCAATATTGTGATCCAATACAGAAGTACATAGAGTAATATGTAGAGCGATAATATCTAGCCTTAACACTATAATGTATATAGGCTATAATATGTTACGTGTATGAAAGTATGAAAGCGACACTTTATAAGAAAGAGGATGCAAGATACCTCAAAAGGGTGTTACCGGCTAAGGGGCAGTTTTTTATTCAGCTTTGCCGCTTTCTTCCGGAGTTAAGCTAATGGCATTCTGTACTCTTTGCACACCACAAGTGTGAAGTTATACAAAGCGACGTTTTTAAGGGTAACCTGGTGAACCGCGCGACCCGCTTGGAGAATGGGAGCCGTAATCTGATTCGTGTATACTATACTCCCACAGCTAAGACTGACAGAGTACATAATCTCAGCCATATCTAGCGTTTGAAATTAATTTTGTCAATTACGCTAATGGTACAAATAATTGTGGAAATAATTTTAAATTGTGTTTTACTGATATTTTTTGGTTATTACGATAACATTTACGAAATAAATGTATTATAAAATTATATCAAATAAACACTATAAATTGTTACTACTTCTATTATCGAAAAATATAAATTATCATGAAGTACGTATATTAATTTCAAATCGTTGAATGCTTAAGTAATGTACACTGTTAATTCGACACATAGTTAAAGATCTTATCCTGCCGCGTGGATGATGAATTAAATATCTTAACCGTGGTGATGATGGTCATGTCTCTGAGAACCGGCAGTTTGCCAAGATAGATAATTAAATAGTACCAAAACCTAAACGTAACGCGAAAATTGGGGGGGGGGGACTTTATACTTTCTACTATCGAAAAATCTTTCAGATATTAAAAAGAAATTTCTAACGCAGGGAAGGTTGTAAAATAGCCACATATATGGCGAAAACTTTGCTTGAGATATTTTATATTAGCAAATGTATATCATCTAGTGACAAGTTACAGTTAATAAAAGGGATCCGTTTTAGCTTTCATTTTACTGTATGCCATTGTCTATTCTTCAGCTTATTCTTTTATATCTTCTACTACTATATTTTTTTTATATTATTTATTTTTTATATTTATTTATTTTTATTTTTGTTTTTAACTAAATTTTTTCAGTGACGATGTATATAAATTAGCGATCCCAAATAAAAAGAAACGCACATATTCATTCAAAACACGACTGTGTTGATAAGATTAGCCATTTTAGTGAGCTAAGCGGATTCATATTTTACGATCAGAATCTAACTGCAGGCTCTGAGGAAAAAAAACAGGATGGTTACAAATTGAGCTACTTCAAAAGCAAGAATAAAAATGACGGCACACCTGGGTTATACGATTTGAAGGAAGGGAAGATTTTTTTTTTCCTTGTATGTTGAGTGGAATATATTTAAAGCGTGTAAACACGTAAATGATACGAGTAGTTATGACAAAGGATACAGGAACGATAGTCAGGGCTAGTAAAAGATGGTTGATAATGAAGTTTTCTTGAATAAAATTTCCCAAAACATTGTAATTCGATTTATTTGAGTATCAATAGAAAAAAATAACAGAAAACTGCAGTCTGAAAACTTCAGATAATACTCTAACTTCAAAGAAGAATTCAAATCTTTATAAAATTTGTAAGGTATATCCTCATTTTATAACAACTATTTTAAGTTTATCGCGCTTTCCTATCTCTTCTAGCTTACAATTCCTTACCAGAGTTTTTAGAATCGCGTTAAATGCAAATGAGAAGGAACAAGTATTTAAGTCAAAGTTCCACTGGCTTCGGGAGAGAGAGTTAGGATTCCTGAATACGTCTCTTTCACTGTTACTACGCTCGGCCGTATTATGTTCCTTTTAATAACTTTGCTAGCTAATTTAATATTACGGGCCAACTAGTTTAGATTTGTGTTAGCTTCCACTAAATCTCTTTAGTTAGGCATTAGTTAGTTCTAATTTCTCACGTTTTTGAGTTAATGCCCAGATGGAGGCTTTGTTGAACGCCCTGAGGAAGGGACCATCTATGAATCTTTATTTGAGCAATAAAGGGTAATTAACCCTTCTTGAGGTTACGTTTCTGCTCTTGGACTTCGATTATTCGCTTAGTAGTTCACTAGGTTCCTCAGCGCTTAGTTAATAGATAGTACATAATACTGATATAATATTTAGTTTTCTCGAAATGCAACCCTGATATTCAATTTTTCCCATATGCTCTGTGAAACAATTTCTCATAAAAGTAAGTAAATCCATCCAAACACAGATACCCCTTGTGTGTTGCAATAAGTATATTAACCTAGCTTATGCTCATTCACTAGATATACAAAAATTATTGAATTAATCGAAAAATATATTAGATCTTAATATAGATAGCAAAGTTATAAATTATGTATTCTATTTTAATCAATTTTGCAATTTAGAACTAATATTCTTTTGTAAAACAGAAATGCAAAAATGTGTTTATAAATTAAAAATTTTGTTGAATAATTGAATGAGTTAATATCAGCAAGATTATATCTGAAATTTTTTCTCTTTATCGATTAATTTTCACACATAACCTTCCAAATTTCCTTGCAATCTAGAATTTTATTTTACATTGTCAACCATATACATTAAAATAATAATAAACAGATGTAATATTACAAAAAAGTTCTGTAGCTGTGTATAATGTTGGAAAAAGGTGTTTTATTAATGAATTTTACTATTTAACTAATTACTTTATTATGAAGTATGTGTGTTGTTTGTTACTCTGGCAGGCAAAGCGTGGTAGTACTTTGGAAAATAAATCAAATATATTAAGAAATGGAAAATGGCTTTGAACTGGCTATTTTCCATACCACGTGATTATTAAATGCAGCCATAGCATAGCGATGTTTGATGTAAAAAAATATTATAATTCAGGTTTCTAAGCAAGAGAATTTGAAGTTACCTTTTACTCATAACTAGCGGAAGTACCCGATACCAGTCACGTTAGATTGAGTGTAATGTAACTAACAACAGAGAGAACCATACCTCTGTAATCCTTCTAGAAAAATAAACTAATTCTCTCTCATTATATCAGCAACAATGGCACGCAGTTTGTAATGATTTTCTTCTTTCTAATCAAATGGTCATAAAACCTCAAATTCCATCCAATTTTAGTCGATTAAATGCGTCAAAAAAAAAAGGATCATAATTGATCAGAAATCAATAACGCGAACAAACACACAAACATGCATTCTTCTTTATACTTATGGATTTTGTAAAACTTACAAATTTTTGATTAACAAAGCAAGCAGTAGCAACACTTTTCGAAATAAAGCATTTTTATTTCCAAACTATTGCCACTCGAGAAAATGAGTATTGCGAAAATTAGTGTTTTCAGAGTTTCTAATTAACATCTCGACTGATTAAAGTCGTACGAAGATGGGAATAGTCGTAATGGCTTCCCACGAATTTTTGGAATCTGAATAATGTATTTAATGTTTTGCAACGCTAATTTTATTTCATTGTAAAACTTAGGAATTTTTTATTAGCAAACTCTACGATTTGAAAGAGAGTAGTGGCAACACTTCTAGAAATAAAGCAGATTTTTATCTCCAGCTTGCAAGACTGTCGCCACTGGGAAAAAAAAAATGAGGGCGAAAATTAGCGTTTTCAGAGTTTTCAATTCATATCCCTGTTTTTTTTTTTTTTTTTTTTTTTTTTTTTTTCAAAGTGGACGTCGACCTTTTTTCAGGACCCAGAAAGCAATTGTAGAAAGTTTGATAGCTATAGTAGTTACTGAATTAATCGCGATCAAACACACAAAGATTCTCCTTTATACATATATATATGTTCACTGTATCCATCAACTGTATTGATTTTAACAGTTTACTCAATACTTTCCGTTAATTTATAATTAAAAATTTGATAACTGCATAATTTTCCATTGCAGTACAGTTTGGATTAATCGTTTTTTAATAATAATTCTTTATTGCATTTTCAGGAAACATCCAAAGGCCAGCAGCTCCTAGACGTCGTCTACAAACATCTAAATTTGATGGAAACTGCATACTTCGGGCTCAGGTTCCTAGATGCGACTGGACAGAGGGTAAGATAAGAGTCAGCCCTTGAATTTTCTTTATTATGCATTGTCTCCGAAAAATATTTCATCTATTAAGCCTTACAATCTTCGGTAAATCTTTACCCCGTAGGCGAAAACAAAAGCTTTTCGTATTTCCTCTTATAAGGTGCAGGATGTTGCCATCAACATAAGCTGCTTTAACGGTCATAAAAATACTTTTTCTTTTTTACTTACTTTTTGTTTTGTTTGTTTATTCATTTTTTTTAAACAAGGATGACGCAGCGGTGAGTTCCTTAGCATCCATGCCGCGAATCGACTTACTCTACACAGAGAAAAGTAAAGTTTTAGTCCTGCTGCTTCACTGCCGCCCTCTAACGCTCGTAAAAAAGAGTTTATTAGCTACATGCTGAGTCTACGCCCTAGGATTGGATGTTGTTTATATCTTTTTAGCAATGCTCCAGACCATATTTTAAATCACACACTTATGGTAACAAAGTATCGGAAAGAATACTACCCCGCAACAACTATTGTAGCGAAAAGCAGAATATAAACACCACGCAAAGTCTTTGAAATTCTCTGGTTGCTAGGCAGAAAAAGAAAAAAGAAAAATTCTTTTGTTATCATGACAGTTTTTTCCAATTTAAAAGAATAACTGCACAATAAAACGGCAACCAGTATATTCGAAGAGGAATGTTTTCTTTTATGTTCTTCCGTTTTTCAAACATATTTAAGCAAGAATACAGCATTATAAAAAAAAAAGTGAAATATTTTTCTATTTTATTTAAGAATGAAAAATTAAATGAAATAAGACCGTAAGACTAGTCAAAATCGTAATTTTAGAGAAATATACTACATGTTCACTTTTCTGACGTATTTTAAATAGCCTTATAAATTTATTAATGTGACTGTGCTTTTCGACTGAACTTTTATGCTGAACGAACATTTTTGCAGCGGCTCACTTTTGTTTTCTGAAACTTGTACTTTTGAAATTTATCTTCAGAAAACATCGATCACATAGTACTGAAGATATATATTTTTGTTTATCTCTTTCTACACCTGCTTGTTAAGGAAGAGGGCGAAGCGCTCAAAACCTTTCTTAAAATAAAATCTTTTACTCAAAAAATTCTAGAAAGGAACTCACATAAGTATTCAGACACTTAATTTACATCGTTAATACAGAACGAAACTATGCGAATGACAGAATATTTAATAATTAATTTAATGTTCTTTGGCTAGAATCTTTCGGCACGGAGGTGTTTTCGTATAGATATGTTCGATTTTGTTCCATACGTGTATCAAAATTACTTTCGATTGGGCTTTTGTATCTAAATATCACGTTTCCTTATTTTCTTCAACTATATGCAATTCACAGCTTAATTTGCGAAGGGAGCCCCGCTCTGATAGTTCTTAATTTTTTAGATAACCCGTAATTGTATTCGGAGCAACCGAAGCCCTAAATAAGAGGGTCGGGCCTTCCTTTTTTATGTAACTGAACCACAGCTTTAGCAGAAAATCTTATTGATCTCGAAAATTTTATTTTAGTAATAAAATAAAATAAATAATTCTTTCTGACTTCTGAATGCATGCCTCTCTTTCCCTCAGAAACAAACTTTTGGACGGAGGTTGGGACTTTTAAGAAAAGAAAAGCCCCCACCCTCATATCAAAGACTTATTCTTTAGGAAGTGCAATGAATTTATAACAGCGGCTAATTTTTCGTTCCAACGTAAGTGACTTCCCGCGAAAAAGACTACTAGAAACAAAAATTTTAACTTGTTACTTTGTTCTTAATTAACCTTAGAGAATTTTTTGTCATTGTCACATTCTGCTTGACAGCTAAATGTATACTGGCAGAAGATCCAGGTCAGAAAATGTTGAATTCTTTTCTTTTGTTTTCATACCTACATGCCATCCGTTAATCCGGTTGAACTGTTTCTTAGTTTTTGAGTGTATTTGTAATTCCAGCAGCAACCCCATTTATCATTTAAATATTATTCATATTTGTCTATGAAATAGGAATCCGATTATTTATTAATTACTAATCTCAGTATTATTAAATATGATATTTTTAATAAAACTTATCTGTTGAATATTTTAAAAAGTATTAACATATTCCTGAAGGTGACTGTAATTATTAAATTTTTGAATCTTGGAATACTGAGTGATTTACGACCGATTAACTTTGGTTGGCCAGCAAAGAAGGGCCACATCACGGGTATGAACAGAGTTAATGATGTTTAAGCCTTAGAACTTTGATAACAGTGATGGCTAGACCATCGTCTGAATGCTTCCTGAACTTTCAATTGACTTGCCGCCTTTTTGTCTTTGCAAGTGTTTTGTGGTCGGGAGAACTAAACCTTTATCGAAGTTTCGAAATGTTACGCTCAGTAATATTTAAGGTATCTGTTACAACAACAACTATTACAACTATTTGAGGTATCGCCGAAAAATTCCGTAATTTTTTATTCTTAAATGCGCTGTTTATTTCAAGAGCTGTGAACACAATGCTCTCAGAAAACATATACTTAAAACAGCCAAAGAAGGAAGTAAAAATCACACTAAAATCTTGAAACAAAGCAGCAAATTTCATCACTGAACTCAGAATGAAATCGAAAACAGTGCTGACTGATTAAAAGCCAAAGATACTCAGTTTTCTTATAAATTACTCGCGAAGGGAAAGGAAGCCCAGAAATCATCGTATCTTTAAGCATTATCTCAAAAACTTAATGATAGCCCTAGAATAAAAAAAAAATTAGAAGCGAAGGTTTAATGAACAAATTGTTGTTGGTAAAATCCCAGCAATCCATGAAGAATCACGAATGGAATTCAGGATCCCATGAATACAGTTAGGGACTTAGGCATAGCGTTCTTTCAGGGGCCTCTAATGCCCATGTCCCAAGTTTTCTGAAGAAATAACAAAATTATGATTAACTAGTGAAAATAGTTAATTATGATTAACTATTCTGATGATTTTATAGATTGAACTCTAGGGCTGATTTGATTTAAACTGTAGGGCTAAACTGTTGATTTAAACTCTAATCCTTGCGGGCCTTGGCAATAATCAGGCCTTGTTTGGAATATTTTTTCGTTTATTAAAGACCTTGTGCTCCTAGTTAAGACGACATAACTTGTGCCTATATCATCCTGGTTTAGATTGAGCAATTCTAGAGCTGGAATCTAAGATTCCGCTTATTGCGTAGAATCGACGAGAGATACATCTATAATTTGCTCAAGAATCGAATTCATGCCCAATGACATAGAATCAACTTAGGTTAACCACTTTAGTGCAAACACATATTGCGTTTTATGACCTCCGTATTTGTACGTGAAGTGTATTTTTTAAATGCTCATCTATCTCTTTTAATACTTTAATTTTACTTACACATTATTTTTTAACAAAATATCTTTGAACAAACTGTTTCCGATTTCCAATGTAAAAGATTATTGAAAGAAAAATGGGCTAAGTTCTCTCCCTACACATGTGATAGAATAGAATTTTTCATATTTAAAATCCTTGAAACCCTTCCTTTTACCAAAAAAAAAAAAAAAAAAAAAAAAAAAAAAAATTAATTATGAAAAAAAAAAAAAAAATTACGTAATCATCATTTTGCAATCTCCTACGCCACAAACGAAGTAATTTCTTTTGGGAAATGATTCTAAAAAGACAAGCCATACGTCAAGCGATTGTCGTATTCGAACGCCCACTTAGAACTGCATTCAGACAGATGGGAAAAGAATTCCTATTTCTGATTGTTCCATTCGTCACAAGAATCCCTTTTCTTTCTGTTACATCTGTCATTTCCTAACACCCACGTTCGTCTGCCAATCGACGTTTAAGTGGATCAGGCTGTAATTATAGTTTTGACCGAATAAATATTTATGATAATTAGAACAACGCATTTCGATTTGAATGTACTATTGCAATTTTTAACTAAATCCTTTTCGCAAATTAAGACAAGATTAACCCTGCAGAACTAATATTTTAACTTCTAATGTACTTCATTGCAGTTAATTTCACTGTACAATGAAAAAATCAACACTAATAATGAATAAATGGTTATCATAAATATGACAAATATTGTCATTTACACAAGGATTAAGGTCTTCCGAATAAAACTGGCATGTTGCTTATCTGGCTACTATCCATTCCCTAAATGTTTTCTGTATTATTACAGGTTAATTGAAAATAAATTGTATAAAAAGAAAACGTACCAATAATTACTGAGATGACTTTATTTCTCGAATATAAGCGTAGTATAAAAGAATAAATCTCCAGGTTTCAGAGAAAATTCGCAGATGTTCGTTATAGGCTTCCTTCGTTACATAGCAAAAGACTACACGATAGGCCAGTTTTTACCACAAGTATGCCAAAACATAGTTAGATCAATTGAGTCTACCACGCTGTCTCCATTGATCCAACTATCTTGGCATATTTGCTATTTTAAGCGCTGTTAAGTCCTGTGGAATAGAGAATACGAGCACCTGATCCTCATATACCCTTAAAGGAAAGATTCGTGACACATTATGTCCAGTGACTTGGGAGGCCAAAACTTAAGTGGCACATAAATTGAATCAGTACGACCAATCCAGCATTCTGGAAGATACTGGCTGAGATATTCGCGTATTTATCTATGCCAATGAAGCGGAGGACCGCCTTGATGCAAAATGTAGTCAGGTACCTGATCTTCCGTTTGGAGCAATGAACACTAGCATAGCATGTCAACGCGTAGGACGTAGGTAAATCGTCTAACGATAGCTTGCACTAAGAAAAATGGCTCAAATATTCTATGGTCGGTTATCGGGCAAGAACGTTTACATTCGGAAACTGATGTTCCTATTCCAATGTGGCCCACCAGCGGCCGAGCGGTAAAGTCGCTGAACACTGGTAGTTTGGTCCGAGGTTCGAATCCCGCGAACGGGCTGGCTGCATGGGCGTTTTCGTGGTTTTGCCCATGTGTAACGTGTATACGAGCCAGTTCCCCTTAGAAAGTCCTTCACGAAGGCATCCCTCCCCTTAGGCAAATAGCCTTAGTGTGATTTTCCATAATTAAATAAACCAACTAAACTAAACCAAACCTATTCCAATGTGGCATTCCAATTTTCCATCCTCCAGAATCTCAAATTATGCCTGCTCACTTTTTCACGTAAATGTAATGTGGCTGCGTCAATGAGCACTAAACTGCCTGCGAAATCATTCACCTCCAGCCAAAACTTTCAAATCAAAACAGAGCTCTCACCGTTTCGGTTTGTCGATAGTTTGTAGCACGTGAACCACGATAAATTTATAAGCCAGAACTGTCCAGATGTCTATATAAATGCGCCACGCTGTGGCTAGCTTATGTTGTTTGTTGGCACAAGATTTTGACCTCCTGAGGCTTGATTGATTAGTAACACGAAAGTTTTCCACCATTTCATTGTTGACGAATTGCCTTCGTATATGTTAATATACCCTTTTTTTCCCAATGATAAGATTTCCCACTCTGGTGATTGCTAGGTATTTGATTAGGAAAAAGGTCGACTCTTGGAGTTTCGGCCCCTTGGGGCTGCCTATGCAGGGAAAAGAAATATAGATACGATCACACCACGAAACCTGATGGACAAGCTGAACGAGAAGAATGTAGAAGTAGCCTCGGCAAGTGTTGCCACTACGAGATATAGACCATTAATTTCTCTTCCACGCGCCCTCTCGCATTAGCGACTCTTAGAATATTACTAAACATAAGATCAGCATAAGTTCTTTTAATTTTAATCTATTTTTCAGAAGAAATAAGCTCACTTCTTAACAATAAAACATCGTTTTACTTTTTTTAATAATGCATCTAATTCATATGAATTAAATTACATTTACTTTAAAATATACCCAACTGATAATTTTGATGAACCTCTGTTTTGCTGTAATTAACAAAGACGTTTATAAAGTCATATGTTTTGGAACTAGTATAGACCTTTTTTCTGTTTGTTCAACAAATGATGGTGTTTTTTTATGTTTAATATTTTTTAATTTTTTGCAACTTTTAAAAATGTGTAACAGTTTAAATTATACTTCGAGATGCTAGGCTGTGGTCTGAAGTTTTTCCGATAAAGCTAAGTGAATTTTTCGTACATGTTATAAGAATTATCACAATCAAATTTTAAAAAAATAAAAAGTTAATTAAATTAAAAGCTGTATATAAATTTGAGCGAATAAGACCAAACAAGAAAATGTTATCCAGAATATCTCATTGTTTAAGCGCATGTAGTGTTTACGGTTATTCGTACAAAAGTTTTCAAGTATCTTTCGAAGCCACTAAAACACAAGTAACCAATAATCTTTCAAACCTCCTACGTCACATATGTGGGGGAGAAATCGATTCGAACGTATAGATGAAATTCTTGCTTGCTGCAAAGCACATTTTAAATCCATTTACTGAATCTGTTTTAGAGATCATGGACCGATGTTTACGTTTTAAGAGTGAACCCATATCTCGCTAGGAGAAGATTCATATTACAAAACGCCGGATCATAAAACGATTTTCTTCAATAATACATTAACGATGATTTAGTTAGAATTTTTGAATAGAGCACTTTTTAGTGAAAATATAGAAATACTGTGTTTGTGTAATTCCCACTTTTTCTGACATTAGAAAGGTTTTCAGAAGAATTTTTTCAAATTTTTTGGACCGTTTCGTTATACTATTATGCATATATCAATTACTCACTTTCGCAAGCACTGGCATAGCAGAAAATATAGTCTTTAATTTTTTTCTATGCAGCCTTTCTCTCAACGTTGTCGTTCATCAAAACATAAACTTTTGAAGTTTACTTTCAAATTTACCCATAAAATAACGATTTAACTGCAAAATACGCGCTTCTTCATAATTTAAAATTATATATAACATATATAATCAATATAAATTAAAATTTAATTTAATTTATATTATACCCAACTGAGGATTTTACCGGTATCGAGACGTTGCACTGGCTTTACGCAGAGTGAAAAGCCTTCATTTAAGAGTACGGGGTTAGTTTCTTCGAGATCTCAGGTAGACAGTGATTTCCCTATTTTTTTATTTCAATGTGAATATGCAAAATTGTACCAAACTCAAATAAAATTCTAGAACACTACAGAACTAACACGGCGGCATGTAACGGTTTTAGTAAGAATAGGAAATAATGATTAGATAAGATAAGATTCTTTCTTATTTTATCTAATCATTATTTCCTATCTTGTTCATTTGCGGTTTTTCAGCTGAAGATGATGGTTCGGTAAAACCATTGAAACTAGTCCTGTGAAAATTTTGTAAATATAACGCTGATTTTTGTTGTTTGACTTCTGAATTAGTATTTTATATGATATTAGAGGAATATGAATCTATACTAACGTAGAAACGTTATATATCTTCTGTACATTTAAAAAGTGAAAAAATATATGACGGAATACTATAAGAATATTTAATGTTTCTATTAGACAGATCATGAATTAAATGTATTTTTGTTTAAATCAATCACTTTAAAATGTTAAATGTTTTTAAATTTAAACAGTCTTGGTTTGTTAATTAATAAGAAACGAAACAATAATATCTTACTTTTTTACGAATGGCAACGGACTCGAATAAAAAGAGAAACAACGCATTAAAGTAAAACAACGCAAAACCCTGTGGGATACTAATTAGCTCTTTTGGGCAGAAGCATGATAAACGTACTAAACTCATGGACTTAACCCGGTCTTTTAACGTTGTCGCAAATTCATAACTCGTTCGAAATCTTTACTCGATAGCATAAAAGTGGAGAATTTTCATGTTTGACCACCTTGAAGATTTTATAATGGTGCTGGCACCTTTATGCAGGTCGCTACTATTCACCTAGATCTTTACATGGGCATCCCGGCGTCTTGATGAAGGTTGCATTCTTTATGATAACAGTCATTCATAACATTCTTTATGAAACTTCATAAAGGTGCAAGGCACCGTTTGGCGAACAAGAGCCAACTTGCAAAAAAAGCCCGCACTGCAAGTTGGCCACTTGGATCAGACCAACCAACCTCATCCGCCCCTAGGTAAACATGCTGATATTAATGTTCATATCAATAAAGTCAAAAAAGTATTTTGTTGAATTCTTATGAAATACTGCTTTGAAATTTTATACTTGTTAGTGTGTATTTAAACTATCAGGTAAAAAAAATAATTTTTCTCTCATTTTTTTCAGCACTGGTTGGATCCAAACAAAGTAATCGTAAAGCAAATGAGAGGTGAGTAACGGAAAAATTTCATTATTTAAATATATCGGGATTCAAGTTTGTTTTGTACTTAAAAAAGCAGCAATTTCTTTAAAATTCTTCAGTGAAACAGAAAGAAGTGGGAAAGCAAAAAACTTTTTGTTTTTAAATTGATTCCATAGATGAAATAACTTATTCATATACGAGTACAAATACTATTTTTATTTATTTTTTTAAGGCCAGTATTACAGCAATTCATTTTGGTAAAGATATATCGTACACCTTTTTTTCAAACATTAAAAGTATATTTACCCATTCTTTTAGCAAAACAGTGGCTATATACTATCTTCAGTTTTATGGTGCAGGAGGCGAAAAATATATTTAAGTTGTGGCGTCTAACGTAATGTAGATGGTGTTGAGTACAAGGTATTGTGCAACATAGCATGACTTCATGTTCTTCTAACCACTCCTATCACTAGTTTTACGGTGTGAAATAATTCTTTGACTTTCTGACACCGATACATCCTTCTGGATTCGAAGTGCAAATAAGTGCAACTCGTCAAAGATCTGTGTCAGCTAAATGTACGTGTCGACTAAATATCCTGTCGGCTAAGTGTTTCGTCAGTCAAGTAGTTATCGGCTAAGTGTCCGCCATCGTATCCGGATTGCGGGCCCCTTAAAGGCCTCTAAAATAGATTTAGGTTGGGAGCAGGAAAGATGAAAAATATCCAACCGCCTTCGCCGGGAATCGAACCACGGACCTCCGGAATACCGGCCCAGTGTGCTGAACCATTACACCACGAAGGCACGCTAGGAAAGCGAGAATAACCTTATAACATAACATGCATATCTGCAAGTTCATTCCACGTATATCGGTTCATATTACTTCTGCAAAGTCACTTAGTCGAATGATGATGGCTGCACACGTCAAACAGCTGTGCTTATGTATGGAAGTTGTGTACACACAGCACCCTTTACACCACCATGCGTTCGTCTGCGCCCATACTTTCCTATGTGGTTTGGTTTGGTTTGGTTTATTTAATTATGGCAAAGCATACTAGGGCTATCTGCCTAATGGAAGGGATGCCTTCGTGGAGGACTTTCTAAGGGAAACTTACTCGTATACACTTTACACATGGGGAAAACCACGAAAACACCCATGCAGCCAGCCCGTTTGCAGAATTCGAACCTCAGACCGAACTACCAGTGTTCAGCGACTTTACCGCTCGGCCGCTGGTGGGCCTTACTTTCCTATGTGAAATCTCCTTCGTTTCCTATTCCCTACCTCCCCACCAAATATTGATGAATTCTAAATCACCCTGTATATGTAAATAAATAAATTAATAACAGTATTTAATATAAGTTTATTGTTGTAAATATCTAACAATATTTAATATCAGTTTATTGTTGTTCTAAAAGAATATTTAATAGGCCATACATGGAAGTCATGTGGTATCCATATCAGATTCAAATGTGCATAATATTTATAGTAAAAATTGTTTCTAAAATATTTCTGTGTTTCATAAACCTAACAGAAAAATTAAATCAGTATGAAATCAATGTAAAATCTAATTAATTTGTTATTTATCGTTATAAACAGTTGTAGATAAAGGTATTATATTAAGTAAGGCTAGTTTGAATAATACGCTTTTGGAACGTGTGAGTCAAACTTAATTTCGAATGAAGAGACTATTTTTTTTTTTTTTTTTTTTCCCCTCTGTGTGTGTGTGTGTGTGAGTAAAGTTTTAACTTTTTTGTTTATTACTTTTTTAATTTGAATGAGTGCACTTTTGCTTGCAGTTGTCAGTTACATAAATTTTTTTTAGGCATTTTCAGGTTTCAAGAGTATGATTTGACCTGTGGAAGGATACTTAACAGAAAATTTCTTAAGCAGATTTAAAAGTATTTTACTAAATACTTTTAAAAGTATTTAAAAGTATTTTACTAAATACTTTTAAATCTTATCATTATGCTTGATGAAAGCGGACTTTCAGAGAAATGAATGATGCATGAAATAGATTCTTTGTTTATCCTTTTCCTTCAGGGATGGAAAAAAAGAATAAACAAAATAAAGTACTTAAAAGTTCATCTTCCCAGATGTTTATACTTTAAAATATTTGCTTAGAAGGAAAAATTTAATTTAAATCGTAATAATATTAAAAAAAATTATTATTTATCTGTTAAAGCCTTTAATATCTGTCATTATCTGTTATTGCTTTTCATAAATACTGCATTTTTTTAATTAAAATTTTTTCTAGATCAAGTATTAACTAGTATTAATATTCTTTTACATTACTGAAAAGAAAAAGCTCTCTATTTGAAAATGTTTTCTTTTTCGAAATAAAGGCTTTCGGCAGACGACTGTTTTTTTAGTGTTGGTAAATTTAGCTTTCGAAATCTTTTCAAACATAAAGAAAAAAAGAGATTTTGTTTAAAACTGGTTATTTCAGTTTTTTGCTGCTGTGAAAAAGAATTTTGTCTTTTACCATTATTTTCACTTAAGCTCATCAAGAAAAGATACGCGAAAATAAGAAGTTTTCCGCTTATTTACTGAAACTCATGTTTTAAATTGCAACACTCAGAAGTTGAAACCAGAACTGAAAATTTACTTTTAAATGCCAGAAAGAGTTTATGCCAACTGCCAAGTCTGGGCAAACAAAAGAAAATAAAGAATACGTTTACATTTAAGTAGAATGATGTTTAGAAAGGGGAATATATGGAATGGGCAATTACATCTTCTTATTTTCTTTTCTCGGTTTTCACCTTTTTAATTTTTCTTCTTTGCGCAGTGTTATTGACCCTACTTTTACCTCTTCATTTCGTTTTCCAGAAATTCTGTTTGTTGTTCGCTTATAACAAGAGCTAGAAGAATTGGCCATGAAATTCGGAAAGAATATTCTACTTTTATTTCGAAATTCTGAAAATTCCTCTCCGTTCCCTGTTTTCTTTCTACCCAAACTAAATGCATTCAGAAATTTTTCTAGAATGTAATAATTGCACGCCGTAAGTGAATTTTGATGAAATTTTAATTCGCACCTTTAATGGCACCATAATTACCTACTGGATATTTTCAAGCTCAGATTTCAAATTCTTTACTTAGTATGCCTTCTTGAAGCTTTTCGTTTACAGAATAAATTACATAGTTAATGAAATAATATTAATGTTGGATATGTATGCTTTTTTAATTTATTACTATGGCTGAAGTTTTTTATTTATCATTTCTCTCACAATTATTGCCAATAAAAATTTTACAAGGAAAAACATTTTTACAGTTAATTTTTTAAATGCGAAAGTACATTTTTCTGTGAAAAAGTTATTGTTATACCTTTAGCAATTAAAAATTCTTAACAAATAGCTCTGTAAGTTTATTAGAAAACTTTTAACTCAATTCATTAAAAAATACAAGTAATCGAAGGAAATGCAAAAGGTTAACCTAACGTTTTAGTTAACTGACCCAAATCATCTAAATTCTACACATTTTAGAGGCTTTCTTCTAAGCCAATGTTTAACATTCTCTGCAGTTAATTGCTAAAATATCCTTTAGTCTTTAATAATAAATAAACTCCTAACAAAAATAGCTTTATAATTTTATTAAAGAAATTGAAACTCACACTTTTCGTGTTTTACCTTTTATAATCAGCATAAAATTTCCCTAAATGTAAATGGACCGGAGAAGCGTATAAAAAGTTAGATTTCTTAATTTTATAAAAGTGACTTTTTTTACACTTGAAAATGCAAAAAAAAATGAATATTCGCTCTATTTAAACAATTTTGTAACTTGAAATATATATTTACGACTAACGGTTGCGAAAATAAAACCCAGGTGAGGAAGAGACATAGTGTATATATACTCACTCTTTCAGAAATGATAAAATTATATTCAGGATTGTATAAAAACTCTTAATCCGTCGAGAATTTTATTTGTGACATCTCTTAAAGTATTTTTGGGATAAAAAGGAAATAATACTCATATAAGAATTATATTTAGGGCACTGGCTTAAGTGCTTGGGGTATTTCCAAGCAACCCGTCGTCACCCGTTTTAAGAAACGGAGGCGGTTATTAAGCTGTAGACTAGTTGAATTATTGAACTGTTAGCATACTAGCATGAAACCTTCAGTTGAACTCACACGGAAAGATTATTTTAATGGCACACCCACGTTACACGACGCTCCGGGCGGTCTTCCACTTTTCGCTCGACAGTTTAATAGCTTTCGCCTTCAGACATTAAGAAATTCTATCAGATAGATGGTTACGAGCATTTTGGTCACCTTCCTCAGCTGCACGAATACAAGCACACTGTTTTATTTTCTTGCTTCAAAAAAGGTCTTTTACATTGCGCCATTTCGTTTCACTGGAAATAAGGGGTCCTTCTTAATTTTTATGGATTGGAGCTTAAACGATTCCGTTCTGCCGATCTAGCTTCTTAATTTATGCTCCTCTTTTCTCAGAGGTCTTATCCTTGAACAAAAGATGTTAGATGAGCTATATTAATTCTGAAGATTCGGCGTTCATATTATGAGGACATAAAGTGTCAGAGTGGCAATAAATGTAATTTATTCTAAGCTTTTTAAAGGAGTTAAGTTGGCTTATCCTTCCAGCACGTCTCTTTTGCCTTTTAATGCTAATATAATTTCTGAGAATTGGATTCTTTTTTCATATTTTTCTCTTTGAATGAAGGAGTATTCGAGGAAGTGCTTTGATGACTAAATTTTTATAAAGCATTAAGTTACATAAACAAATGAGGGTCTCTTTGAGCCTTAACTGTTTATTACTATATTATTATTATTTAGAAAATGGTAAGTATGCACTAAGGCGAATGTTTCTTACAGATGCTTGATTTTAGATTTTGCTTCTTTTCCTATTCTACCGTGCAGATGAAAGAACATTTGAAGGCATGTTGTGGAGTATGCTCTATTAGGAACCAAAATATTAAATTACTGGGTGCGGCAGGGAAACTACCTTATTTTAAAAATTAATAACACAAATAGTATAAGTGATACCAGTTTAATTTTTTCCCAAGAGAGACACTTTA